GGAGATGCTCGATCCACAAGTCGAGATAATACTCTTTGGTATTTAACCAAGAGTTCCATTCTAACTCCGTCTATAAGCATGAGCTGACTTATTTAATCTTTTACATAGTGGTCACCACATAATCTATTTGACCGAGATGATCATTTGTATATTATCATTATACACAAGGTTCTACCTTGAATTTGTTACTTTACTTCTTCAGGAAGAATTTAGTTGGTTGTACCACATCTCACCAACAACTTCAAATAATTAAACTATTTATTATTTAATTATCGTTCATCTCGGGTACTCGATCCCATCCAGGATTTTTCACATATGACTCGATAGTCATGTTAATGATGCTGCCATAAATATTAACTTGCGGAATCATTGCTAATGAGAGAACTTATAAATATTTGGGTCTCTGCATAAACCCATGAGCATAATCTCGCTATATTTACATCATACCACCACATCACATGTTTCATATAAATATTCATTATCCTTCTGGGATATGCTATCCTCCTGGGATATATCGTGTAGCGAGTGAAAGCTCTGCCTCAATTTTTCTTTCTATCTCAATCAACTTAAGCGCTTCTAGCACTTCTATTCTTTTGATCTGGATCATTATTTGAGATAGTTAAGAAATCACATAGACAAGTATGTTGTCGACAACTGATATTCAATTTATATTTTTCCCTCAACCTATTTGATAGCCATGTTTATAATCATTTCCCGTAAAATCTAATTTTGGCCGTTCCGCATTTCCAGTACTATAATGGTTTGATGCACGTGCAAGATGTACTGGATCAACTCTTCAGGAGTTTATTATAAAGGAGTGTTAATTCTTGAATATACATTTTCCGTGGACTTTCATACATCATATTAACTATATCACCTTATGCTTCAAGTATTAAGGAGTCAATCATTCCCTAGGGAATTTGCTTACTTTGTGGTACATCTATATATTTACAAATAGGTCACTCCATTATAACTATAGATTTCGCTTGGCAGAAATATAATATGAACTTCAAGTTCAATTTTTATTGCGTAGTTTGAAATAATGAAAACATTAATATTTCACATATTTCGTGGCATTAATAAACTCATGCTCATATCTCCCCCTAATGCCGTGAAATCATCTTCATATATTATGCAGAAAACGTACCAAGTAATAAACTGATCCCCTATAATGGCCTCTAGGTATTAAAAATTCGACGGAGTATAAAAATCATATCATACCTAGCTTGTAATATAGGCCCATAAAGGTACGAACTGGTGGTGATATAAATTGGTGAATAATAAAATACCAATAAATTGCAGATGGGAAATGTTCGATTCTCCACGCATTTTAGGGGGAAAACTACCATAAATAATTGTCCAATATGATCCAACTGCTCATGCTACTTATCAAATATATAAGTTGGGCATCGAAGTATAATAATTCATTTCTAAGTGAACACTATATGCTTCAGGCACTACTATTGAACTTTGCTTGTTAGGATTTTATTGTAGCTATCAACAATATTATGTGCTTCGGGCACTACATATAAATTTATTATCATAGCTATCAACAATACAAGTCATTGGTATGCATTTTATCAAATATACAAGCAAACATAACTAATTTCAGAATACTTATATATTGATCCAATCTTTGTAACATTCTGGTTACAACACTTCATTAAGAATATGCAGAGCTGATCTAAAATCAAAATATCATAAATTTATTCAAAAATCAACCAAATTATTTTCTAGATCAATCTTTCAAAGATACTCACTAGATAGTTCTAATGCAATTAGGATATTGGTCAACAGGACCAATCCTTCAGGGATAACCAAATCTATGTTTGTATTCAAATTCATTAGTGAAACTATTAATTATATAATCTTCCAGGGGAACTCAAATCGATAAGCATAAAATTCAACAGGATATTTGCTCTGCAATTCATGATAGGATTAAAAAAAATAACTATACAAGTTGCATACCACTCATTGGTTCACCATCGAAAATAATCCTTATCTCGAGAATAATGTTTGCTAGACATATCTGACATGTGTTACCACTTTCAAATCTTAACAAGTAATGTGAAGAATAATCGGATATATATCAAATAAGAGATATTCATATACAAATAAGGACATGTAAATCAAGGAAACATATTGTCTTACAGAATAGAGATAATCTTTTATCATATTATAATGATGTGACATACATTGAGCTATGTAGAACCATTTATATATATCCAATATTTCCACAATGTTTTGTATATAATCTTCCTCTCATACACAATAGACATACTTATAAGATCACATGAATTTTTATAGCACTAAAAACATTAGACATAAATACCTTTTTAAAATTTTCAAATCATGTCAGTGAAATAATAATCTTGCAGATTATATAATCCTGCATATTATTAATAACACATACAAAAATAATTTCCAGCCATTAGCAAATAATTCATTGGCCAAATAATCCCACTCACTCAGGCCGTAGATATAAATTGATTGGAAGGTTTTCATTATCAACAATAACCATATATATTCAAAAAAATTTTCAGTAAATATGCCGAACAACAATGTTACCTTCCTCATGCATATATTTATCAATTTAATGACCAACAGTCCAAATAAAAGAAAAGTTTATGAGAGTTGCTTTATTATTGTTAGAACAAACAAATAATATTCAGAACGTTTGAATGCTGTTGGCATACAAAATCCAACAATTCCCAACTAAGCAAACTTTCCCATCTATTATGCAACAATCAGGTTCCAAGCATGATGATCTCATGATCAAAGAATCCAAATTGCCGGCCACTTACGGAAATTTAACACACATTCAATAAATAATTCCTTCAACTTTCAATAAAACAATCCATGTTGTTCCGTGTAGGCATACAAAAAACAAATAAATCTCAACCAAGTTTAATACAATTGTCATACATGAATTCAAACAAAAAAAACGTGGGCCATGTGAATATATGCAGATCAATTCAAATGGAATTTTACTGAATGATTTGTATATATGCGTGAATGTGTAAATTGGATCCTTTCATAATTATTTTGACAGCCTCATGATCAATCATCATACGTGGGTATTATTTCGGAAATTAAAATCAGATAACCCAAGCAATCATTATTTCTGAAGACGTTGATGTGTATATCAACAATTACATATAAAGACATAATTTGATGCATTAACATATATATATTAATCATTCAATACTATCAGCCATAACATTCATCATCAGATATCATACGATCATACTCATTATTCATACAATAAATTATTGATATTGAATAGATCTTGAATGTTACCTTGACAGAAAAGACACGATTCTTTCTAGGGCATACATCAATTCTTGATTGTTACCTTGATTGCCCGTTTGTCTTGATGCCGCCGCCGTTCACTTAGATGGTAGAGTACTCGTGCTGATAACGTATTGTAAATTAGGATCCTCAAGCATTTATCAACCCACACCAAACAAAGTAAAGAGAAACGAGCTAAAGAACCAGAGACAAAAGAGCAGAAAAGTATGTAATTTTATTCATCGTATATCACCCTTTTATAGGGTTTACAAGTGAGATGCCCTAAAACCTAATTTCCCTAACTAATGGACTTCAGGCCCAATTATCGATTAGTAATGTCCATATACATAAATTTATAACAGTTTCTACACGGTTTTGTGCAAACAACGCACAATCGGCCTTTTTAGACACAAGAGAATTTTGCCCAAGAGAGCAATTTTTTTATTTCTTCAATGATTGAATAATTTGAACAAAACAATGGGATATTTAAAGACTAGAAATCTCAATCCTATCACTAATCCTAAGAGGAATTAAATACAAGTCTTAAGGCAACTAAATATCTATCTATTAAAAATTACCAAAATAATTAAACTCCTAACATCTAACAATAAACACACGTGGATAACTTAATTATAACAGTATAACAATTACTAATTAATAAATCACCTAACAAGCTAGAGTAACTCATGGCTAATAACAACATAAACATTTAATTAAATTAATAAATGTCTTCTAGAATCTTGACTCCAAATCATCAACAAGGATCGACCATCTTGCTCGGCAAAGGCACAACTGTCGTTTGTGCTTCACACCCCATATGCACACTTACGCAATCATCTTTGCTCCCTAGCCACGTCTGTTGTCCGTGCGCGAGAACCCCAGACCCTCGCGAGCATGCTCGCCTCGCGCGCCCATGCCTAGCGCGGTATTTCCACACACTGCCCATTCCCTCACGCGAGACTCACCTTCTACCTCGAGTCACGCCCAGTCCTCACTGTTGTCGTGCGAGGTTCTCGGATCACATTCGCGCGCGCCTGCGCCCTTGCGCATGTCTTCGCCCTCGTTGTCATGCGTGTTGCCGTGCTGCCATATGCACGTTGTCTCACGCCTGGGCTGCTTCCACCGCGTTGGCTTGCGTCGCCAATGTCGCGTCGGTCGGCATCGCCCGTGGTACACTCGTTTCCATGGCCATCTGCGCGTTGTTTTGCGCCTTTGCGCGCTATCATGCGGTGTCCTCTACTCTCGACTATTCTCATCCATGAGGGAAAAACCTTGATTCACAGCATTCCCTCCCCCTTCGAGAACATCCTTGTCCTCAAGGATTAAACTCGAAATTGGAGTTCGCAGCTCGTGCACGTTCTCCTCAACACTCTTGGAAGTTATTTGGGACTCATAGTCCTCAACCTCACCGAACTTGGGTGTTTCCGTCTTGTTTCCCTCTTCGACCTCCACCAAAACATCCTCATCGGCTTCCACCAAAACAATTGTTTGTGGCCACGAACTACACGATTAGTAGTTGGATCATTTACAAAACCCTCACCTTTGTTCTTTTTTCCTGAGCATGACTCTTGTGTATCATTGTAGGTCACAACTTCATTCTTTGTATTTTTTTTATTCAAATTCTTCACATTTGGTGTAACATTATAGTATATTTCTCGGTCAAAGTAGCCTTTGCGATCAGCCATTTTCACTTCTCAGATAATCCTCAGCTACGTTCTAACTATCCTCGCCCATGGGTGATTGGAGAAGCGATTGTTTGAAAAGAAATTGGTGGTCCTACCTCTTGTGTCCGACGAGACAAGATATATTATTTTGAGAACAACTTGAATTGCATAACCTGTATAAAAAATAGCATAAAATAAAATTAGATGCATATAAAATTACATTTGTATATTATTACATGCCATAAATTGACAAAAGGGATTACCCGCATCATATATAGCATTTTCCTACATGGAATCCCCACATCATTGAATTTCAGATAACTACAACTAGTTCTCGCCTCGCTCCTTTTCTTTTCGCTCTCTCACTTCGTTCGATCTACCGACCCTGAAAGAAAGTTCGTGGAAACAGTTTGTGTCATCCGATAAGTTTAATCCTTCAACTTCGATCCACTAAATGAAAACACTTCATGAATACAAACTACATCATTTTTTTCAACGAGTTTATTGATGTACTCTAGTAGAACATTCGATTGTTCTTGAAAATCATTAATTATTGTCCTCGTATACCTTGTCGACAACTGACGCTCCATTGGTTGTGTAGAATTCAACGATAGTTTCTTAATTTTTTCGACATGGTCTAGTAATAACAATTTATGCCTTTGCCTCGAAATGGCATTCCTAATCCGCATAAACACATCATTGAGTGATCACGTCTGAAATATTCAAAAAAAGAAATAAATAAAAAGAGTGACTGCTTTCAGTACGTTGTGACGACGACATTCCTATTGAGATAACATTTTTGAAATATTTAGGGATCCACATGTTGGGTTGGTTGTACCGTACGGCGTGAAACGCAACAGAAATTAAACAAAATAAACAACTATTTATTGAATAAATACTAACCCCATCGGCTCACGTAGCGATTGTAACGATCAACATCTTTTCAAATCAGGTAAAAGTACGAACTTTGATTTGTAGGAAATTCAAAAATTAACTCTTAAAAAATTCTTCGTAAAGCAGTCGCAGAGAAAGAATCAATTCCTGAGTATGTGGCAATCACCGTCGTTCGTCTCGCCGTAGAGATCAACGTGTGTCCCCTCTAATCGAGTCCACCTTTGGATTACAATACCGAGATTACCTTCTTCGCTAGTAGAAAGTTGTCCCAAAAATCAATTGGTATTTGGAATCAATTAAGAGATGAGATTTTATTTTTTATTTGTTTTTTAAAATGCACAGCTCTCAGCCAAACAAAAAAGGCAAGGAAAAAAGGTTGTCACACTTAGCTGCTCACTCTTGCAAATATATATGTAACATATGTTACATATTAGGTTACAGAAATGTGAGGCGGCGGAAAAAGTCGCCCCACTTTCAACTTTTAATTTATATTTTCTTTAAAAGATAATAACAAAAAAAAAATAATTTTCCAATATTTGGTCAATACTCTATTTATCTTTTTTAATTTCACCAAAAAATAAAAACGCCTCTTCACTTATGATGGCATCAATTATATAATCATATTAGTATGTGGACTTGAATTTTATAGTCAAACTTTAAAATCTAACTATTAATTTAGTAATTCAAATAATTACTTAATAGTTCATCTTTCCAATCCCAGAATCAGAAAATATAGTTGTTCTTACTCAAAAATTGGAAACTCTGAATGTGGATAAATCAGACAGAAACTGGGAAGACTGGGAATCTACCAGGAGGGAATTAAACAAGGCTCACCTACAAGAGGAACTATACTGGCAATAGAAGGCCAAATATAGATGGTTGAAAGAAGGGGATGCTAACACAAGATTCTTCCACGCCTTTACACTTCAACGGAGAAGGATAATGCCATCACAAGATTGATTTCAGCTCAAGGCAAGGTCTACTCCACTCAGAAGGAAATTGAAAAATCACATAGCTGATTTTTACTACAACCTTTTCTCTACATATGGCAGTTGGGGTGGGGACTCTATATTTCGTCTTATCCCCACATCCATTACATCAGACATGAATCAAGCTTTGCTTAAGCCAGTAGAGGAGGAAGAAGTGAAAATGGCTTATTCAGCTTGCTCAAAGACTTAAGTCATGCCTAAATTGTTGTATTAGTGATTATCAAGCTACATTCATGGAAGAAAGGCAACTAATAGACATTGTCATTATTGCTCAAGAACCTTTCCACTTCTTGAACAGACATTCTTCAGGCCCTAATTTCTTTATGGCTCTTAAGTTATATTTAATAAAGGCATTTGATCGTGTTGAATGGTTCTGTCTTAAAAAGATTATGCTTCAAATGGTTTTCATACTAACTTTGTAAAGCTAATTATGATATATGTTTCCACTGCCTCATTTTCTTTCAAAGTTAATGGTTCAATTATCAGTGGCAGTCATCTTAGCCAGACACTTTCATCTGACATCTCCTCTTTGCGTTCTCCAGTTCGTTGCACAACATGTTTAATTTTGTCTTGCTATCTCATATTTTTCGTCCCTTCCTTATAATAGACAAACATTTTCCATATGACTTCTTGATTGTGGTTTTTTCTGTCATTTCTTCCTCTGACGCCAAAATCAGCTTCTCTGGAATAAGCAATATAGAAGTCTTTAGCTTCATCCAATGTTACAAAACTCTGATTTTTTTAAGGAAATGATGCTAATGAAACTTGTGGAATATAATCACCACTGGCTTTGCAGCCATCTCAGATTAGCTATGAAAAATAAAGTCATTACAAATTGTTCTGAGTTATTAAATTGATCAATATATAATTGAGACATACATGCTAACCTTGTGTTAAGTTGATCATCAAATGACCTGTTAGTATCTTCATCGTTTTCATCTCCAGATATGGAGTAAACCACAAACTTTTGTATCGACATTAGGCAAGCTGAGTGAAAAAAAAAATAATAATAACATAGATAATTTCGGCGGTGACCATCAGGTCGAGTAAAATCAAATGGTTTGTGATGAACTAACTTTTTCTTTTTGTATACAGAAATTCTTGCAAAATAAATTCGTTTCAAATCGACATATCAAATTCTATGATCAATTTTATTTCAAATAATCGGCCCTTGCAACTTCATCTGAAATAAAGTCACCTTCACTTCATCTATTGAGACAGCTGACAATAAACCACTGCTATTATGTTCCTTTATCTTTGGACAAGTTCACAAGTTCTGGTACCTCGTTCATACACCACTATCTCACTCGACTAAAAAAGGAATATTCCCCTCAAATCTCCTTATTTGCGAGGGAATTGATTGAATATTTATATCTATACGCATCTTTGATCAGCGTATCTCAAACCCCTGTGCTAGGATTTATTATCAAATTATTTTTATACTTGTAGAGTGTTTGAGTTAAAGGAGCAGGGGACCAATGAGGAGTAAGCTCTAGCAGTATTGAAGAGATTTTACGTTTTATTCTCGAGATTATTATAATCCTATTACGAAGTTTTATTCAAATTAAAGTTTTAATTTTATGGAAGTATCAATAAATAGGGAACAATCTTATTACAAAGGGTTTTTTAATTGGTTTGGTGTGGAAAATCTTTAAAAAAATCCACCTCATATATGTCAAAAAATTGATAATTAAAATTAATAAAACCATCTCATATGACACATCATATTGTGACATGGATTACAGTGCCCACATAATGGCCATAGAATTTGAATTTCTGTGTGTTTTTATCCTGAAATGTTTTTTTTTCTTTTTTTTTCTTATTAAGTTTGGGTCAGAGGGTATGGTAAAATGTCCTCTTAAATTCATCAAAGTATATAACTTTACAGTTTAAAACTTTGACTTTAACCCTTCAATATCTATAACCGAAAAACTTTAAGCGAAAANACGAGAAAATGGGTGAAGTGAATCTTACCTTCCAAGTTTTTTTTTTTAAAAAAAAAGTAAAAAATAGTCTACAAGGATGCTTAAAACAGTGGTACCTACCGGCTACGAATCTTAAAAATCTTAGAAAGGTCAATCCACAGATTTGTTGACATTGAATCAAATGGCTCCCCATTGTCCCAATATGAAACTTCTTTATATTTCCACCTTCAACTAATATTTGTAGCATAGATAAATTAAAATATGGAGTTTGCATGGATGCATACACGCTGTGGGGCCTTATTGTTGGGCTTAATTAAACATGAAATGGACTTATTGCTAAAAGAAAATTATGCCAAGCACCGTTCCTCTTTATTTTATGTTCATACTTATGTTTTTTTTATGTCAATTGTGTTATACTAGTACGTAACCCGTGGGATGCACACGGACTGTATTTATTTTAAAAAATATTATAATTTGAAGTGTATTAATAAATAAAATGATGATAATACGTAATAAAATTTTCAAATCATAAAATGTTCCTCATGAAAAAATAATATATTACAAAAATATATATCATGTATTCTCTCTCTCTGAGAACGTTCATTTTCCGTTCATCTATCCCGATCAAATCTTTAGTTTCCAACTATATCTCTGTGCAAGGATTCTAATTTAGTGTCTTTGTCTTTCCTGTTGTATCTGTTTTTCCTGTTTGGGTTTTCCCCAAATCGGGGCATCTTTTCTAGGGTTCGTATTCTATGGATCATCAGCAGCCAAGACGACCTCTCCAATCGTCTCAAGGTCTTCTCTCTATCAGAAAAAAGAAGAAATAGTATTTGATATTGCTCAAGACGACATTAGTGTCAGTGATGATGAATGTCAAAGGAGCCTTTTTGGCAAAAACCATAGGTGATAGACCGGCAAGTTGGATTGGAATCAAACGAGCCATGTCTCAGATTTGGAAGCTAAGCCAGCCTATGGAAGTTAAGGAGCTCAGTCTCAATTATTTCCAATTCATATTTCAGAGCAGAGACGACATGAAGAAAGTTGCTAGCGGTACAAACTGGACTTTTGAAAATCAATACCTTATTCTTAAGGAATGGATGACCAACATCAACAGCAAGCACCCCAGCTTTAAAGAGCTAAATCTTTGTGTCCAGGTTCAAAATATCCCCGCTCAATTGGCTTAGCACTGCAGTAGGTCTTAAGATTGGGAAGGCTTTCAAGAATCTCGAGAATGTAGTTATAGCCACTACAGGCAATCATGGGGGTAAGTTACTAAGACTTTTGGTTTCTTTGGATGTTGATGAACCTCTTCCTAGAGTTGCCAAAGTTAGACTGGGTGATCAACTTGTAAATGTGAGCTTTAAATATGAAAAACTCATGAATCTCTGTCACTACTGCAGCAAGATTGGGAATTTAGATCAAGGCTGCAGCAAAAAGATGGAAGACATTAGCAACAATTCTCTTAAAGAAGGTCAGTATGGTGATTGGATGAGAGCTGCAGAGGGTTATAAATGGGCTCCTGTAAGTCTATCTGATTCAAGAACCTCTCTCCCACCTGATTCTCCTACAATTGCTGCACAGGAGCATACTCATAAGAACTCTTCTAGTCAGAAACAATTAATGAATTGCTAGCCAAGGAGAAACTCACTCACCAGCTAAATCTCTGGGCACTACTTCACAAGTTTCTGCAAATCAAAATCCCATTACTGCTGAAGACACTGCAGATTTCCCTCTTCAAATAGTGGAATCTTCATCTATGGACACTGAGAAAGGGGATAC